GCTTTACTAGTCCCTAAGGACCCCAAAGCGCTTTACACAGCCAATAATCCACCCATTCACGCACACATTTACACACTGGGGATATGCAAGCTACATTGTAGCCACAGCCACCCTGGGGCGCACTGACAGAGGCGATGATATCCCATACTATATGTATTCTCCATCAAGGAGCAGAAGTTTTACACATAGCTGCTTTTTATGTTAATTAAATGGCCCAACTTTACCCAATCACAATTACCCCCAAGTCACTGCTAATCCCTTGGATCCAGCTGAGTGACACACCAGGGGATGAAATGTTGACTTTAATTTCTCATTGGAAATCTTGTCAGGAGTGTGAAAACCACACATCATAATGTTTCCCTCTGCCAACAACAGACCAGTGGTCCCAGTATGAGGCATCGAGGTAACTTAAGGCCTTTTGTTTAGCTCTCAAGGTCATCATTAGCCAGGGCAGCTTTGAAGCATCTGTGCAGCAGCTGCCCACAGGGGAAGTGAGAGGAGCCCATAGCAAAAAGTTCGTTAGCTGGAGAAACAGCAACAGCCAAGAACACCTAAAAAAGTGTGTCTGTTTGTTTAAATTCAGCCTCCAAATGAGAAATGTCTTGAATACAACAGTAGACTTTCAAAACTCTACCCAGAGGGATGTTCTTTCTAATTATGCCTATTTTTGTTAAGTACAATACATCACTGTAACTCATCTGTAGGACTAGAATAAAGAATGTGTAAATTGGCTAAACAAATATGCAGCCCATAACTTTCAGACTTGTAGTCTCAATCAGTGTTGACTAAAGTGGCTTAAGGCAATTTATCAGATTATGTGCAGCTCCCTCTTAAGTACAGATTTCATTCTCACCCCACCAAATGATTTCACAAATTAGCACAACCTCTGCTTCAGACAGAAATAAATCATTAATCAAGTCATCAGGTGCTGCTTGAATATAATGAAAGTCTGCCATTAATGTTGTGTAATTATAAACCCGAATAAAACACAGTGTATTTTATAAAAATCCTAGTACTTTGCATTGTTAAAGTTTTGACCCTTTGTACTTGAGTCAAAAATGAACCCATTTCCTCCTAACTTTCTTTTAAAATACATTTTTGGCCTTTTTAGCCGTTGTAATGATGTGACAGGCTGAAGGTGGACAAGAAAGGTTGGGGAGAGCAGGGGGAAGGGATGTAGCAATTGGCCCGGTACAAAATCAAACCTTGGTCTCTGGAATAACCTTGTGGCATATGAGTTGCCTGCTCAACCCAGTGAGCTATACTGGCACCCCCTCAAAACTTTCTTGACACAATATTGGAGAAGAAAAAATAAAAATGCCTCACAGAAATAATCTATATTAAAAAAAAAGGAAAAACACCCAGAGGGGGTCTTACTCTTTTCTTTGTTGCGATTCCTTCTGTGTTGCTGCAGGAGACCGCCGCAGGCCTTCAGCACTGTCTTTAGAGCTCGCAAACCCCAGTCATAGTGTTGCTGAGGAGTCAACAACTCTCTGGAGAAAGAAATAAAGGCACATTTTTACACATCACACACTCGCAGTTGGCGGTAGCATTGTCTGTAACAGTCAGTGGTGGGAAGCAGAAAGGGTAATTTATCCACAAAAATCAAGCAACTGCATACTATTAATGCTAAAACAGAAAGTCAGTCTAATAATAACACGTGAAACACAAAAATCACACACAACACAGATATCAAACTACACAGGTGAAGCACATTGCATGTCAATTTGACCCTAATCCAAACCAAAAATGACTTAATTCTACCTTGCCAGGTTGAAGATTGCTACCAGTTTACATCCCAGTATTTCTCCATTTTTGAAGCCCTCGGAGTAGAGGATGACTTCAGCAATGAGCTCATTGTCTGGCCTGCTCATGGCCACAGGCCTGAACAATTGCTTTAGGTTGTCTGGAAGTTTCTGTCTGCCTCCATAGCCTTTTCCTGCTGGATTTAATGTGATAAAGACTCCAGAATTAGGGTCCAATTCCACCTAGAGGATGAAGAAAGGAAGAACATGTTCTTCTCAATATTACCGGTATGATTTTTTAAAACTAGCATTAGTAAAGTTTAAGCAGTTCCTTCTGGAATTATGACAAATCCAGTTTTTACGCCATATATGAAAACATAAATAATTTACTGTGGGACTGATTTGACTGAAAGACAGTTAAAAAAAATAGAAAAAAATAATTGTATATCATGAGAAAGTGTCATAAATTACTGAGGTGGGCTTGAGAAATCAGAATGACCTGGTGTTCAGCATTATTGTTTTTGTCTGCATTTGTTTATTTTCTGACCTCCTTCCCTAGCAGATCGCATGTGTTCTTATGGTGTTTGAGAGAGTCTTGAATGGCCTGAATCTGCATGGAAACTGCAGACAGTACTGCTTCCTCTAAACGGTTAAACTCGTCAAAGCAGCCCCATGCTCCACACTTCACCAACCCCACAAAGATCCGTCCCATTGACTTCACATCGATACCCTGGAAAACAGACCAAAAAAAACCAGTCGTTGTCATTTGTACTCAATTTGCAATCCTACTTTGTTTGCGCATGTGTGTGGACTAATCAAAAGGTTAGTGTATGTGTGTGTCTACTACTGCACATATGTGATTCATGGATATATTGTATCCACGTCTTTAGTTGTAGCTTTCGCTTTGTATATATTTTTTGCTTTTCACAGAAGCATCTATACACCTCGTCACAGTTGAACACCAGCACTTGACGTCCAAACAGCCCTCCTAAGGCTTTGACGGACTCAGTCTTGCCTGTGCCGGCTGGCCCATAAGGGTTCCCCCCGAGCCCCATCTTCATTGCCTGGGTCAGAGTCAGGTAGCATTTATCAGTCAGTGGAGTGTGCACCAGCTTAGCCACATTCCCCTGGGAGGCAGTAAGAGATAAGATTAAAGATTAAAATTAGGAATAAAGACAGCAAAGGAAAGTGATGGTGGCCAGACAGCATCAGAGATATGGGTGAAGGGACACGATGGAGACTGAAACAAACTCGTCAAAAAAATAAAGGAAATGAATGGAAAAGGAAAGACGTGACAAATGAATGATGGACGGGCAAAGAAAAAAAAAAGTAAACGGGAGTCTGGATGTGGTTGTAAAAAACTGCAGAGTGGAAATGCAAGAAGGCACTGTATTACACGTGCTCCTTATCCCTGCATAAACAGTGCCCCCCAAAGGTAAAAAAAAAATAGGTTCAAATACATTGATTAACACCTACACAACAGCTCCCATAAGCGGGATACTGCAGCCTGCCACACTGCAAAAACTGTTTAACGATAGCTTGTGATAAAGCTGATCCAGCCCCCAAACTCCTGCCTATAGTGTAATTATTACTGATATAAACTGGGATTAAGAAAATGCATGTTCTCCTAATACTACCTTACCTGAGTCATACTGAAAGTAGCTACAGAATGAACAAAATGTTATAGGGCTTCACCTGAATATTAAACCCTCGGCTAGATTTAGATATTTGGTTTCCTTTTTTTGGTTGTTACACATGAATATAATAATTTTTGTTATGGTTATAAAATTAGACATGATGTCAGTCATTTATCATCTGTAAAAATAGACTAATACAGATGGCACAACTTGCTGTTGAAAATGTCTGCTGCTTTCCTCCCTTGCAAGTCAATGTGCTGTAAAATGAATGCTAAGAAAGCAGATTTAATTTCCTGTGGTTTAATATTCTTAATTAGAAAAACAAAATGTCAAGTAAAGATTAACTGGAGTGCAGGAAACATCACTGAATGTTTTGGTTTGTTCCATTTGCGTAATTGAAAAGAGGAACGCATATACAACACGTTTGCACTATATCACACCTGGTATTCATAGGTATAGCTGAATTGTGCATCCACCATATGTATGTGGCAGCATTGGTCCGGCCCCATATAGAACCGAAGCTGCTTCTTCCAGGCCCAGGCGTCAGTAGTGGTAACTCCTGCCTGGTTAAGTTGCTTCACCACACTGATGTTGTGGATAATATCCAGGATCAAGGCCTTCAGCTTCAATTGCAGGACACTAGACTCTGTACAAGGAGACATGCATAAATTTTAGGGTGTCAGAACCTGTAAAAGTACACAAATAACACATTTCTGACATAAAAGAGCATTGTATCTGTAAATGCAGGGTGCTGGATTTAACCAGGCCAGGAAATAGTTAATATTTGTTACAATAGTGTATTGAATTTGAATAAACTACAGTGTAGAACTGAGAAATTCTGAAATGAACAATATGATTTTTTTCAGTATGACTCAGGCAACACATTTAAACATTAAAAACAGTGCTGCATTACCTCTTTAGTTCATCACTGTTCAAGTTTTATGGAACTGATTAGACCAGCAGCTGTAACCCTGAATTTTACATTCTTGCTTGATATGGGATTTCTCTCTCTTTCTTTTGGTAAAGCGGTGATCATTCCAAACAGGTGTCGGTTCTTGACTTCAGGGGATTGTAATTTGTATTAAAAAATAGCATTTGAGTTTATATAACAGAAATAAGCAAGGCCTTCTCCCCAAAAAGACATTGCTGGAAAGCAGCAAATGTTCTTTTAAAGGCCAAAGAAACCACATACATGTCATTCAGTATTAAAAGGGCCTCTCAGTATGGGCAAGTTGCCTGTGCCCTGTGCACTAATGCGCATTGATACCATCGAGGATGCTGGCTTTTGTACTGTGTGCTTACAACAAGTGAGTGATGGCCCTTCTGTTTAGCCTGGAGGATTTCTAAGAGTTTTAAAATTTGACCTGTCAGACCACAGGAATATTTTCTGCTTTCCCTCAGTCCGAACAAAGGCCCAGAGAGAGCACTGGTGCTTCTGGGTCTGTTTATATGTGTATTTTTTTTTGCCTAGCAACCCCCCAAAATCAATTATGGCTACACTCCTTTTTACCACTTCAAGCCACCTTTTAGTCATCTTTTATAGTCTTGTTGACATGTATGCATCAATAGTGTCAGCCTAGCTAGAGATGCATACAAATTACTTCAGCAAATGTATGCCAAATGTATCCTGCCAAATGTATCCTGTCTTGCCTCACCAACAAATGGCTCCTCACTTCCTGTGGAGTTTATGAGGCGATAGTGGCTCAAGAGTTGGGAGTTCTCCTTGTAATCGGAAGGTTTCAGGTTCGAGCCCCGGCTTGGACAGTCTCAGTTGTTGTGTCCTTGGGCAAGACACTTCACCCGTTGCCTACTGGTGGTGGTCAGAGGGCCCGGTGGCGCCAGTGTCCGGCAGCCTCGCCTCTGTCAGTGCGCCCCAGGGTGGCTGTGGCTACAACGTAGCTTGCCATCACCAGTGTGTGAATGTGTGTGTGAATGGGTGGATGACTGGTTGTGTAAAGCACTTTGGGGTCCTTAGGGACTAGAAAAGCGCTATACAAATACAGGCCATTTATGGACATTTTAGGCAGACTGGGTAATTAGATTGTCTTTCTTGCCATTACTTTTGCTGCTTTAATCAGTCCCAGCACTTTATAGCCACTTGAGACAAACTGGTGTTAAAAGAAAGCACATCACATAGGGATTTTACCCTTTTTAACCCCTTTTCACAACGGTGTCCTGCATCCATCATTTCCTCTCAAAATGAATCATAAACGAGCAAAAGTAAGACATTATTAGTTAAGTTAAAACTAATAAGCGACATGACCACTCAAAATAGTCCAAAATGAGCCTTTGCAGCCTTTACACTGGTTTAGTCATAATAACCTTTTCAGCTATCAAAAGCCCCCAATTTGATACAGCTTGTCATTTTCAGTAAAAAACAAAATGAAAACTTCCCCCGGCACCATCCTGACACAAGAAGTGAATTACTCCAAAGCCGCCTTTTTTTTCTTTAACAGCTAAAAGAAACAGCACTTGCAATATTACAGTACATCACCACCTAGGCGTGTCAGTCCTATCTAATGAAATCTCTAAGAAACATTGCCTTAAATTTTGGTTTTTTACACAGAAGCCAGTAATTTAATAATGTATTATCATGGAAATAACTGCTACAGGCATAAATGGAAAAGGTGTGCATGTAAGAATATAATATCTCCATATAATATAATCCAGTGCTGTACTAAAATAAAAGGTATTCTACAACTGTGTGAAAAAGTCTAAAAGCAAATTTAGCCCACACGCTGAAGTTAAGCATGAAGAAAATGACAGAAGAGATTTGGAATTTGACCATTTCCCAGAACGCCAATGTCCTGTGAAATGTCGGTACTGTTGGCGCTTTCATCTTGTGAATGAGTAACTTGTTTAAATCTAAAAGTAAAGCAGATTTGAGTTCTGAGGCAAAAGTCGGCTGTTATGCTTTATGCAGCCATATATTCATCCCCGGGTCATTAAATTCGCCTGTCAGATATGTTGCCTACAGATTTAAAGCGTGCCCCTTTGCAGCTTCCTAGGAGACTATGAGTGATACACTCATTTGGAATTAATTTCCCACTCATCTCATAATCCCAACAGATTCAACCAAGCCTGAGATTTGGATCAGTATCTGATGTAGATTAAGTACACATATTAAGTAGCAATTGTTTATCTGGACTCTCACAGAAAGGTCAAAAACTAAAATAAGGGTTGTGAAATTTGCTGTAGAAATAACCACAAAGAGAGAAAGAAAAATCACACATCAATTGTGGGGCAAAGACGTGAATATTTTAAGACCTCTTGGGGAAAAAACATTGTGTAGTTCCTGTTTATCACAACTTCTTCTGTCTTTCTGTGCATTACCCTTATGTCAGAGATCGTAACCAGTCAATATTGGCAATTCTAATTGCCAATATGGCCACTAGGGGTCATAGGACTCCACTCAAGTAGCCCTGCTATTATATATCAGTTATATTGTATCACTTTATATATAATGTTAAAGCTAGCGTCTACGTTTAGCTGAATACTTGGATTAGAGGAAGAAAAACTGTAGAAACACTGGTGAACACAGTGACATGGTGATTACTGTTGCCTCAAAGCCTAACAGTAAGATGGTCCTGGATCTGGCCAGGGCCTTTCTGTGTGGAGTTTGCTTGTTCTCCTCGTGTCTGTGTGGGTTCTGTCCAGATACTACGGCTTCCTCAAGCACTACAAAGACAGGCATGTTAGTAGGGTTAGGTTAGTTGGTGATTGGCTTTAATATGCTTCAGATGTGAATGACAGTGTGAATGGTTGTCGGTCTCTCTGTGTTAGCCCTGTGACAGACTGGCAACCTGTCCAGCATGTACCCAACCTCTCGCCCTGTGTCAGCTGGGATAGGAGATGAAGTCAGAGATGCAAGGCTGAGACTGTTTTGGACATGAGCAAAAGAGAGGTAGTGGATATGTTGGGCAAAGGACGTTGAAGACAGCTACCAGGCAAAAAAGAAAAGAGGAAGTCCACATAAAAGGTTCAGGCATGAAGTAAAGGAGGGCCTGCAGAGGGTTTGTGTGACAGAAGAAGATGCTAGGGATAGAGTGAGAGTAAGATGACTTGTTATGGCCATCCCTAAAGGGAGGAGTGGAAATAAGAAGAAGAAGAAAGAAACTGGCTGGTTGTAATAATCACAGATTTGATGTTTATTCATTAATGTTGGTTATAAATTGCTTTTAACTGTAAGTTTTTTAATCCTTGTATGCACACACTAAGCTAAACGTATATGTTAAATAAAATCCATATCATGTGTGCAGAATTTCATGTAGTTCAGGGAAACGTTACACCTGTCTGAATGGGCACACATACTTTATCTTCCCTGATGCTTAAACACAAATGTGTTCCCTACCTGTGTTATCAGAGCTGGTGTCCACTGTGGTATAGACTTCTAATTTGCTATTAAGCTCCAACTCCAACTGATGCAAATTTTGTTCTTTTATAGCTCTTTCCACATCTTCAGTAAATTGGATTTGCTCAGCCAGACACAGGATCTACACGAAAAAATGCAACATTGTTTAATGCTGGGGAGAAAAAAACGTATTTTCTTTTACATCACAAGCTTTAAAGAATATTTTTAAAAAACAGTTGTATAAATGAGTGTGTGCACCTGTGATGGATAACGAGAGGGGTCCACTTCCCCTTTCTTTGCTGCCGACACACATTCATACAGCAAGTGCTTTAGGGTCTCCTTCATTTCCACAGACAGCTCACTTAACCACACCTAGAAACGAAGGAAAACTGTTTATGCAGAACCACAAAGGAGAAAAAGCATATAAAACGTTTAAAATGAATACACATTTGTGTTGCTTTGAATACATTTTTAAAAAGGATAAACATACTACAAGTACCTCCTTAGACCTCCAACAATGATAATACTATTTATCCATTTATATACATTCATAGCTTTACCTCCACAAGGCTGGAAATGTGTACAATATTTCTGAGTGGCACAATTTCTCCCTCCAAAGAACACATGGCGACAATGTGCTGGCATTGCTCATCAAACACAACACTGTGGATGCCTGCAAAGGGAATATATATGCAGACTACCTTCACTATCCAATACAACCGCTATGATTCAAACAATATGAACAAATATAACAAAAGGGGGAAAACAGGCAGAAGACAGAGCGACAGCAGATAAATGCAAACGATCATCAGCAACAACAGAATGTAAGAACACGCATGTCTCTGACCTGCAAAGAGTTTTTTTAGGTGTGACTGGATGACACTAGGGTTGGTTGCCTGCCCAAGAATTTCTAACAGATCATCATCCCCAATGAAATAGAACCGTGGGAAGGCAGACCGTTTCTCCTGTGATGCAGACACAAAACCACATTTAGGTAGTGGTGATATTTGAAACCCATGTGAAAGAAAGCAAATGTCTTCTCACACGTGCGTATTCACCTCCAGGAACTCATTGAGTGACTTTTGGCAGCGCTGTAGTTGGTCCAGTATGGTGACGAGGGAGTTTCTGATGCCAGCCCTCGAACTCAGAGAAACAACTCTGTTGTCTCTCTGGATGTCTGACATTATAGACCTAAGACACGGAGCGAGAAGATGTTCAGTTATGCCAGTTTCTATTTGTCAGCAAAAGAGAAGCCACATGTAGTTTATGGTATATTATCACATGCAGTATACAGTATAGTGGTTTTCTAATCTTACTGAACACTCAAAGTGCTTCAGACTACAAGTCACATTTAACCACACAGTCAAATAGTGTTTTATTCTATACATTGCAAACATGGAAGTCTTTCAACTGTCAGAGGAAGCTAGACTACCCAAAGAAAACGCATGCACTCGTAGTGAGTGCGCACATTCAAACACCAGAAGGAAAGGTCCAAATCAGGAACGTTCTTGCTGTGAAGTATCAGTGTTAGCCACCATTGTGCCTAAATGGGCAAACGCTTCATTTATGTTATTACACAGAGCTGCACACACTGTACCTGAAGTCTTCATCAACTCGTTTGAAGCGAGCTTCCTCTCGGGGTAATGCTCCTCGTCCAAAAATGGGCTCCAAATAAACCCAGCGCCTCTGGATGGCATTCAGACTGAGCAGATACTCATCCAAGTCGGACAGACGAACTTCCCACAGACTGACCTGGACATACGTGGAGTAAATACTCAAACCTTTGTCACAGTTTCTTCATCAGGGATTAAATGTTAATATATAAATGAACCAAATTTGTTTTTTAAAAACTGCATGTACCAATACAAGCTGAGAAAGGTATGTGAAAAGTACTTTTTCCATACATAAAAAAAATTAAGCACTTAAAGTTTATTCATAGATTTAAAGACCTTGACCTGACCTTGTCCTGGAAGCTGCGGTAATAAGGGGAATCTTTTAGCGACTGCAGCAGACAGCGATTATCTCCCACCTAGATAGACAGAGAAATGGTGAAAACGTAATACCTAATACATAGGTATTATGTATGTATGTAAATAAAAAACACGCACAAGGGTTAGGGTTAAATTTAAAAACTGTACTTTTGAGTTAAAATATATATATTTATAATTTTAATAAATGACAAATTAAAAATGCATGCACATTTTTTGTATCGAAAAAATATCGAACCGTGACACCAAAGTATCGAACCGAACCGAACCGTGAATTTTGTGTATCGTTGCACCCCTACTAATTATATAATGTTTTTTTTAAAAAAAACAATAACACTGTTTCACAATCAGACACAATGGGTTCTATCTTGGTAAGCCTCTACAAACCTTATGTATGGGTCATTCTAAAGCAGGGGTCTCAAACTTTCGGCCCGGGGGCCACTTGTGGCCCACGTCACTCCTACTTGACGTGAAGAAATGTAATGCAATTACATATTGAACTTTTTTTGTTAGGCATGATTTGTTTGTTGCTGAATGCAATGTTGAAATAAGTTCTTTAAAAAGCAAAAAATGATTTAATATGAAAACAATATGAGCAGAGAGTACAAACATGTTGAGGGATTGGCTGTGTTGGTTCAGTGAGAGAGTTATTTGTAAAGAAAACAATTTTCACTAGAAGTCAAAAACTAATGTGTACACTTACGTCTGCATTTTTATTTTGTTAAATACAAACAAAATTAGAGTAGAAGTGCTGCCACGCGTTTGATCAGAAAGACAGTAACAATTTGTTTATTTGATAGTTCAAAGTAGTAGCAGTTGAAAGGGCTCAGTTAAGAGTGAGGAAAAAAAATTACGTTCACATTTGCAGATTTGTCTTGTTATACAATATTTGACATTTAAAGAAAACTAGCAAAACACTATATTTCTGGAAATATTTGTGGGTGTTTTTGTGTTTGTTTGTTTGTTTTTGTATTACTTGAACGCTAAAGTGGACCTCCAATGAGATGACACTGCCAGCAGTGGCCCACAGCCCATTTTGGTTTGAGACCCCTGTTCTAAAGAGTTCATTGGATTCAAGTGTGGCACTGATGCAACAAGTCAGCTTGTGAAATTTCTACCCTTGTAAATATTTCACAATAAGTGGCATTACTACAAAGTGGAAGTTTCCAGAAACCACTGAAACTCAGCCACAAAGTGTCAGAGTGCCATGTGCTGAGGTGCATAGTTCGTAAAAGTTGCCCTCACTCTGTTGACTCAGTAAGTCGACCAGACCGCCTCTGGCATTAAGATCAGCACAAAAACTGAGTTTGCTGAGATGAGGTTTCCATAGCTGAGAAACTCCTGTACTGTATGTGTAGGCAGTCTTGTACTTTTGTCCATATGTGGTATATTCAGGGCTCATGTTCAGATACATTTGTGTTCAAGAAGTATCTTAAACCACGTTAGCCTAAATCACTAAAAGCAATACTTTAGTACAAAAAAAGTGTATAATTGCAGCAAATCCCTTTGTGGCTCTTTTTCTTATTCAATTTCCTCTGATAAATTAAACTAGAGGAAAGAAGCAGCAATCTTGTGCCACCCTATCCAAGGATATAATGAAGCTCAATTATATCTAGAGGCCATCGCAGATTCAATAGTCAACAATATAGAACATCTAAAACAATCCAATCTAGACAGGCAAAAGATTAACTACAGCAGGACAAATGTAAAGCAAGATGAGGATGAATGAGCGCAGCAGATAACTGAAGCTGTTTCTCAAAAAGGGATGCAAGTGCCAAGATTTGCTTGTTTGTCCCTCTGGAGTCATTAAACAGAAAAATCTCATTAGCCACTTGAATGTTCAAAATGTCTAAAGTTTCCTATTTGGCCATCATTTCGATCTTAGCAAACAAGTGCTTCTTTAGTGAATTTCAACAAGTGGATACATTTCAGGGGTTTTAATCTCGATTTGTATTCTTTTTACTATAAGTAAGTAGCTAATTTCTAGCTTATTTCTCTGAACTATCTCAAGCACTGTGCTGCCCAGCAATTTCTTATAGGCTAACTGCACCTGATCTAACTACATTAGATCTCTGTGTTTAACCTTCTCCTAGTTTAGTTCACAATAAATGAACTGCAATTTATACAGTACCTTTTTACACTCGCATTTTTAATGTAACACCTGCAAACCTAGATGGAGGCATCAAATGGTACTGATGATTCAGGATCTTGCCTAAAGGCACTTAAATTTAGCGTTGCAGGAACTGAGGATCGAAACATGGACCTTCTGAGTAGCAGACAACCTGCTTTCAATTCTGGGTCACCATATACAACATGATTTTTGAGGGCCATAAAAGAGAACCAGACAACCAGGGAGGGGTGCAAGGTCCATCCAGGAGATGTGACTATTGTTCATAAAATGATTTATGGTCAACTCTAACCACTTAAAAAAAAACTCAATTTACTTTCCTAGTCAAACTTCAGAGATTCAGTGTGGCATTGTGAACCAAATCTGCATTTTATATTTGTACACACCAGCTGACTTGATGTCTTTTTTTTATGTGTGCTCCATATATCTACCTGGTTGACAATATCCTTCCAGTCCTTGATGAGGGTGAGAGTGCGCCCACTGCTGTCTGTGTACTCAGTGAGGGTGAAGGTAGCTGCAGCTCCCCACAAATCCAGCTCCCTCAGAGCTTCTCTGATCGTCACCTCCGCCTGAGCACGACTGTTCAGATCCTATATCAATGTGCACCACATGCACACACAAAAAACACACGCCTCTGCATCAGTCATATTGGGTTTTGCGTCTGGACCGCCCGTTTGCCTCATTACATTTCCAACACATCACTGAAATCTGCCAACATGCCAACTTTTTCCAAAAAACCTGGAAGACTAACATTTCTCAGCTTCGAGTCGTGATGTACTGACTTTTTCACTTCCATTTCTGTGTTTGTGCGTGCACCGTGTGAGAGGTTGCTTTAATACCCTCAGGATTTCAAACAGGTTTGATTTTCTTGCGATTTTCTTGATCGGGAGCTGGTCGTGAGGTGTTAATTGCTTCTCGTTACCCCATGTATACTACATGTTGCACGACACATGATTAAGGCGAAACTCGGGCCAATCCAAATATACAAATGCAGGCCAAAGCAGCTTTATAGATATCAGTTACGATCTTTATCATGCCATTACTGAAAATTACTGAGTTCTGATTCCCTAAAGATTAGGGCGCTAAAAAAGACATTTATATACAATTTCAAAAGTGTGTTTGTACAGACCTTGAGCTCCATTGCTTTCTCTATGATGGTATTTGCCACAGCAAGAAGATCACTAAAGGTAAGTCTCTCTAAAGTCATCCCTCTTGGGAGGCCTAGTAAACGGAACATGTCCAACCAGTGGTCCTGAGACAGGTGGTCCCCACGTACATACTTCAGCACTGGAATCATGTTCTAGATATTGAGACGAAAAAGAAAAGGAAACAAAAAAAAAACAAAACAAGATTTGTAATTAGATCACTTATAAAGTCAGATTAAAGATTTCCCTCACAGCTGTGTAGATTCAAATGAGATGTCACAGCCCCCGAGGGAACATCCCACCTTTGCTGGGATTCCCGCTCGGGGGTGGCATGGTGGTAGGACAGGGCAGCACTTACTGTTCCCTGATTTCAATTCCACCATCAGGCCGGGGGCTTTCTGTGTGGAGTTTGCATGTTCACCCCTTGTTTGCGTGGGTTCTCTCCGGGTACTCCGGCTTTCTCCCACAGTCCAAAGACATGCAGTTAGTGGGGATAGGTTAAATGGAAACTCTAAATTGCCCATAGGTGTGAATGTGAGTGGGAATGGTTGTCTGTGTCTATGTGTTAGTCCTGCAACAGACTGGCGACCTGTCCAGGGTGTACCCTGCCTCAAAAAGGAGAAACGAGGAGAAAGGATGGAACTGTGTACATTTTTAAGTCATGTTTCCACTTAAACAAACTGTATATGAAAATGTAGCAGCTAATTGCCGTGACATTTTCTGAGTAAACTCCAACAAGAACCAGAATAAATTTTCTGGATATCTGACTCAGCCAAAGCATACACACATATTTCAGATAAGAAGAGTTGAATTGAATACGAAAAGAAGACAGCGACATATTATTACTTTAACTGTACTAGTATATACCTTGTATTTGTCGACTTCCCCTTGTAGTTTAACAGACATCACAGTGGGTTGCTCTAGTTTTCTTAGTCTGTCTTGCCAAGTAAACAAAAACTCCTCAAATACATATGTTTTACTCCTGTAAATTAAAAGAAAAAACACACACAATTACATGACTAAACACATAGTACTGATTAAAAACGTAATCAGTACTCTATGTAAAAGTTAAGATATGAGCCCTAAACATGACCCCCCTCTACCTGAATGATATCCAGTCTTCCTGGGCCTTCTCTGAGAACCCTTGGTGCCACTCCTCATACAGACCCCACATTTGGCTGCATTCCTCCATGTCTCTTTTTGTCTCTTCGGCCACAGAGAAAGACGGAGTCTCCAGATTGAAATAGGCACAGTCTTCACTGAGGAGAGCAAAGGAGAGTCAGACTTTTGGCCGTAACTGAACTAAATGCAATCTCTTCACACCAGAGTCATAACTGAAAATGATCTTGTACAAGTTTTTCATGTGGCACACGATAAAGGAAATAAAAATCCCAAATACTTTAAACATTCTAAATCTCTTAGTGAATAAACCTGAATGAAAATAAACGTACAGCAGCTTAGTGCGCACAAGCTCTAGCTCCTCAAACTCTTGCTGTTTGTCCCTGATTGTCTGAAGACATACAAGCAGGGCAGCATGATCACCAGTCTCAAGCATCTCATCTTTAGGTTTTAGCTGGTCCCAGCGTGCCTTAAACCGCTCCAGATCTGCCCTGTAAACATCGATACGACTGGCCGCATAACTTCGCATCACCTCCACCTAAGAGAGTACCATGCATGAAAAAGAAGGAGTCATTCTGAGGAAAATAGGATCTGAAAAACCAATTGGAGCAATAAGCTGATCTCAGTGTGTCTGTATGAGTATATGTCACCTGGTCTTTGACCATTAGCTGGTGGCTCTCCATGACAAGCTCCAGCTTGTCCCACTTGGCCCTGAGTGAAGAGAGAGAGTCCAGCCCAGCTCCAGCCACCGCACGTAGCAAGCGGTTCTTCTCCTCAGCAAATTGGAACTGAGGTAGAATCTGTATAGACATGAAGCACAGTTTGTTTCAAATGACATGGTTAAATTTTAGACGGTTCCTTGTGGACTTATAGGACCAATGCTATAAATCAATCAGAAATATGACGAGACATACTGTAAAATGCATTAAGGAAGACAAAGCTTTTATTTCTTTGACAGGGAGCAAAATGTTTTACTAGGTGTATGAAAGTTAACCTTGAATTCTAAAATTACCCACAAACAAGGAAGGAAGAAATTTACAAAAAACCCTAACGAACTGGGTTTAGGAGTGTTTGTGTCTTACTTCAGGTTTGCGGGCAAGTATCTGGTTATATTTGGCACTAGCCGCACCAATTTCCTCCATACTCTCTGGTCGAGTGGACAAGGCCTCCATTGATTCTGTCACAAAAGTTTCTATTGCTTGTGTGTGGCCTGCAAGCAAGAAGGAAGAGAATATACTTTCAAAAAAGGAAAACAGAAAAGGAAAGGGAAAGTGAGAGCAAAGGGGATATCTTAGAGCTGAAGAAATGGAAAACAAATTTTCAAAACACAGACACAAAATTGAGAAAGAGAAATAAAACACTGTTTTTTCATTGGTGAGATACACTTAATGTCTTTTATATAAAAGCATTTATTGATGCAAAGAGAGAAACAAAGTGGGGGCTTGGCTAGAGTGTTTTCGTTCTGCCACAAACATTACATACTGGAAAAAACAAGGAAAATCAAGGTGTCTGTGTTTACCTTGTATAGATTTCCTAAGTGAGAGGAGCAGCATGTCAAACAGCCTCTGAATCAGGTCATCTATGGCGGCTTTTACAGGCTCACAGTTGACGGTGATACAGTCCACTTTCTCCTGACTGACAAAGAACGGAGGCCAGTGACAGAAATGCAGTTGTTAAGTGTTACATTTGTGGTGTAAGTTCACTTTTAACTGCACAAACTGTACCCAATAAAGAAATATAATAAGTAAAACTATAAATGGATAAAGCAGGTCACTTTTCTTAGTAGAGAACAGAACATAATGCCTCGGGCTTTTCTGGAGCGCATCATTTTCTAAAAGTTATGAATCTGATGTGTGATCTTTGCTGGTATGATTAAACAAACCTTCCCAAGCTGTTACAGAGAAAAACACTTCAGAGGACTCGATTAACAATTAACTTGTAACAAACAAAATCACTTAAGATATCAAAACAATCTGTGAATGACCTAGTTATATAAACTGTATATAACAATACAGTCTATACACTTTTTGCAATGTTTACTGTCCTTATGTGTAAGCATAAATATCATTTTCATTTCACCAGGTTTAATTACATTAGTTAATACGTGATGTGTACCTGGGTAAACGTTCTGACTCTTTCCCCTTGGCTTTCAGGGCTTTGAAATTTCTTTCCCAGTCCTGCACAGAACTCAAATGCTTCTCGATCAACTTCTCTAAATCAGTCTGTCCCAACACCACCCACTCCTGCACTCACGCACACACACACACACACACACACACACGCACACAGGATCACAGTGAGGCGGGGTGCAGTGCATATTTCCTATTTTTAAAGGTGTCTGTGTTAAAGGTGACAGTAACGATATCATCCATCAAGACACAGATGACTAAATAAAAAGAGAAGTAAAGAGAAGATGAGATAAAAGAGAAGTCTGGTGCGGGCGGAGGGCTTCCCCCTGCAATTTATACATGCATGATCGCAGACTAAAGGGAAAAGACAATAAACTGTTCTGTCATGGTAGTATGCAGGGGAACACAGCAGTGAAACAACAGAGCTTCAGTACAAAAAAAAAAAAAAAGAGAACCATGACTGATCCAGGTTTCATTCTTTCAAAGACAGCAATACAGTTATTCCTCAGTGCAGTGCTTCAGTGAGAAACTTGTGACAAGTGTTTCATTATTTTAAATATACGTACATATATAAAATGGTACGCTGCTGAAAGAAACTAAAATCAAGTCAGAGCCATGATGATGATAATACTAAAGATTTAAGTGCTGAGCCAAATAACTGATCGGAAGTTATTAAATCTCGAGTCCGAATTTGATCAGCCTCAAATCCGGTCCAGGTGTCAAAGAGTTACACAACATGCAAATTTTCTTTTTTGTACATAAAACACTATACAGAGGCTCTCTTAAAGGAAAGTTAATAACAAATCACTCTCAGAGTAATTATAAAAGTCAAAACACCTTGAACTTGTGTTGTATAGCTTCCAGGCGACTAAAGAGGTCCTCAGCCTTGCTGAAAATTGTGAGGAACCCAGACGCATTTCTGTCAATCATGATGTTGAAGATGAGCTCCTCCCCCTGGGTGCTGACCCCTCGGAACTGGTTTGGGATCGAGATGAAACGCTTCATTTCTCTAAAATAGCGTGCACGCACCTCCTCAAATGGTGGCGAGAACTGTAAGCGGCCCTGCCTGTTAACAAGAACAGGATTAAAACGATTCCACGGTTTACTCTTAAATCCACATTAATCGATGATACCCTTTTAGAAGAAAGAGGAAGTGATAGAGAGGTAGAGAAAACTGTTGATATGACCAAGGGTGAGAAGTGAGAGGTGTGGGGAAAAGTCAGTAGTTGCTGTTATTGACAAGAGAAGTTGAAAATGCAGATGCAGAGAAAATGCAGAGAAGGGAAAAAAGATGACAAGAGTGAGAGGGCAGAGAGAGAAAGCGAAGCCTGGACAAGTGAGATTTTGGGCACTGACTTGAAAGTGAGATCAATGTGTATTTCTGGCAAGTTCTTGTTCAGTGCTTCCAGCCCAGTCTGATACTGGTGTTCAAGAGCTTTGTACAGCTGATGGTTCCAGTGCTGACGCCATGCCCGCATGTCATCAGACCTGAAACCCTACAGACACAAACGCACACACACACACACACACACACACACTTTTTATTTCCTATACAAAAAATATTTTAACTATTTATCCAGAATGATTTATCCTGAAATAAGAATGTTTTCATGCTGAAAACATGGAGACATATTTACTTCCGTATTTTTATTATTTTTTATTTACTATTATAGCCAAATCAACGCAACTATTTGTAAAAAAATATTTTATGCACAAAATAAAAATCCTATTAGGCAAAACATCTGCGACACATTCCATCCAAGACATCTCCAGTCAATACCTGAGCCTCCAGAGTGGCAAAACCAGCACGAAGCTCCTGAAGACCATCCTTCCATCGCTGCTGATGTCTCAGTAGGTCAACATTCATCAGTGTCACGACCTAAAAAATGTACCCACAGATACGGAGAAGAACAAAGAGAATAGTAAGACTTTTGCTACTTATTCCAATTTGAGTGGGGAAGTGTTGTTGCAAAGAACTGTACTAAAGGCCAAAAATTTAAATACTGTGTCTCTGCTAGCACCTTCTCAATGAAGTCAGTGTGCCATTTTCGTAACTTCCTGTTTTCGGTGGAGAGTTTTTCAGCAGCAGCCTGCAGCTTGCCAATGTAGACTTCTAACTCTTTGGGGTTGTCCCAGGTGATCTGCAGCTTACTTCCTGTTTTCTTTGACTGAGAACGAGGATTCTTACAAAGACAAGCAGACCGATTATCTCCACGTCAAGACACAAAATCGATGGCAGGCAAATTTTCAAGGTGAACGAAAGTTCACGATAGATAGATAGATAGATAGATAGATAGATAGATAGATAGATAGATAGATAGATAGATAGATAGATAGATAGATAGATAGATAG